GATCTAGATATTAGGATCAACTTTTCTACTTTAACAAGCAGATAATAAATGCGGAATAAAGTTGTATTTGCGAATAAAAAATGTCATAAAGTTTACTGGTGTATCACGAATAACTGTTCTATAAGTGAAATTTTTATTTGAATGGTTTAAAATGAAATGTGATTATGTGAGAAGCGAGAAAGATAAAACGACGTCTTTGTTCAAAATCGTCTCTCTATTTCTAGACTAGTCATCGATAAACAAAAAAATAAATAAGACAAACACCCCAGAAATCTACGTCCTGGTATTTACACGAAACTTTATTTGTTTATATTATTTTTTATCTCAAATTTCTTTTCTTTCTAATATAATATTACAACTTAATTGTAATCTTTAAATACAGTCAAATTACAATATTACGTTAAAAAAAAAAACATTTAAGATTAAAACAATAAATTGTATGTAAATGTCCGGACATAAGGAACGTTCAACACGAATTAATAAATGCATTAACGGTGCAAACAGTAATTGGATTCTGTGGAAATAATAAAAACTTATTGGAAGAACGCATAATTTCTCTGATCGGGGAAAGGAAAGTCCGGGAAAGCCCGCGTTGACGGCGCGGCGTGTCGTAGTCGTGGCTGGCGGCTGCTGCGGATATCGATCGGTCCGGGATAGTCGCAGCGTCTCTTTAAGTCATCCGACGGGGGGTATCCTGCTTCTGGGCTCACCCACGTAGCTCACCCCCACCGTCCCTGGCAACCCCTGTCGCCTACGTCGTTACCGCCCACGCATGCTGCAGCCTCCTCTCCTCTATCGCGAAGCGTATATCCTTCTCTCCTGCTTTCTGCAGGATCATCCATCGTTCTAGTCTCTGCTTGCTTTCCCTTCAGCGAATTTAGACGACAACAATTTCCCAACACGCGCGCGTCTACCTTCCTTTTTCCGAAATGTTATTTATTTATTCATGACTGACGCACGATTGTCGAATTGAGCTTTTGCTGATGATGATTTTGTTTTAGCTGCGCTCTACATAAGAGATTTCAAAATTTTCAAGTTCTCAGTAAGCTAAGCTTTTGAGCTGTGCATCTTTGTACTTGAGTGTACTCTTCACACGAACAAAGCCGAGTTCTCTTTGGACTTTTAGAGTGCTTTGCTCTGCAGAGGCGCTCTACATTCTTTATTCTTTGGCCGTTTCGGAACTCGTCTTATAAGATCTGCGTGAAATAAAAATGTTTTTTTTTTTTTAATGAGCACTACATATTTTATCTAATTTTTTATTGAAACATGTGTGGTTTGGAATCACTGTTTACTTGAAATTTTTTAAATAAAAAATATGAAAATCAAGCGCGTATATTATGCTACACAATATAGGTAAAAGGCCAAGAGAAACAAACAAGTATTGATGCATATAAAATAATAAAAGAATAAAATTACAATAATAAAATAATAAAATATTGTAATGAAGTAAAAATAATAAAATAAAATAATACAATAATAAAATAATAACATAAGAAAATAAGAAAATTTAATCAAAATAAGAACAAAATTAATTTTTATTAACAAAAAATTCTTAGATCGATAGTAGATCAAAGCAGTGTATTATGACAGTTGCCGACAGTACTTTTCGATACTCCGTCGTCGCCAAAGTTTCTCTCGCGCCTAATGGGTTTATCTGGTGATCGCTGGAGTTTCGCAAAACTCGTTAAACTCGATATTTGCTTCGTCGAAGCGCAACTCGAATGGCGTCACGATAGACAGATAATATTCTCTGTCTTTCTGTCCCTCTATTCGTCTTTCTTGTTTATGTCATGATATACAATATGTATAAGATGAAAAGTTGGTAAGTCAACGCTGGACCATTCTTTTCTTTTCTTAATTCCTGTGGACTCCTTTATTTGCGCGTTTTTCACGAGATTTTTAGCGACGATGTCCGCGGGGTTATTATACGACGAGGGTATCGATTTCGCGCGAAGGAGCCTTTTCGTAGTCTTATACATCGTTATTTTTTTTTTCTCAGTATGACGTCACGTCCGTCGGTAGATACGGCAAAAAGAGGGCTCAAGGATATCTCAGAAAAGTAGCTTGCATCCGTCGGTTAAATGCGCCCCGAGATAATGAGATGACCCATCCACACGGGGCTATCTCTGCTGGTTACTCTCGTCTCTCGTGTTCCCGATATCTTCGGCGCAGCCGGCTATATCGAGGCTTTCTACAACTCTACTGGCGATCTGCCCTGGAGTTTCTCCGGTCGCAAGTCCGCTGAATCTTCCAAAAGACGTTTAGCTAACGGTTTATGTCTTCTTTTTCCCGCGATAATTCGAGATAGTAGGATTATACAAAAAGGAAAGCTGAAGTATTTAAAATTTTAGTTACACGAAAAGAACAGTAGTTTTGCCAAAGTATGTAAAAATTTAGCTAGATACAGATTAAATAATTGTTGATAAAATGAATGTTGATTTTGTAGTTTGATAAATCAGTGATTTTTAAAGGAGCAATAATGAAAAAATTGAAAAAGAAATCGAATTTTTGTTTAAAAAAAATTTTTTTAAATCAGTGACTTACCAACTTACCTTCGTATGTTGGTAGAATATCGAAACTTTTTGCAGCATTCTTGAAATTTCCACGCCATTGATGCGTCGTGAATAAAAATTCGCAGCGCTTCTCAATTTATCTCATCAAGGTCTTAATGAAATATTCCGCAATTCTAGAAATACGCGAATAATATTTTATTGATGATACTAGTACGTGACCATTTATTTTATTGATAGCTAATTATTTTTAGATCTGTTTGGCTAAATTTTTGAGTACTTCAGCAAAAACTTTCTTCCCGTATCATTTCGCAGAAAATTAGATACATCTTTGAAGAGATGATACAATAAGTACATGTTTGGAAGTTCAAAAACGATCAATTTTTTATTTTAGATTTTAGCTTTTATTTTTAGCCTTTATTTTAGATTTTATTTTTTATTTTAGTTTTTTTTTATGTACACGTAACGTAATGCTTGATTACAGAGTAAAAATATTTTTGTATATAGAGCGTTCATAAAAAAAACTCAATCAATTTTCTTGAAATTCCTTTAGTTTGTAACTATTATTACTAGTCTGTCGGATTGATTAGTTTCCGTTATATTCTTCATATAAAAACTAGGCGTATATCTTCTTTCGTTCAACTATTGTATGCAAACAGACGACTGGGAAGCTTAACTTGAGACAACTTAGAAATCCAAGGGAGAGACGTTCTTTCTCATTGCTGCTGAAGTCGTGTACTGTTACGAAGATTTATTGGTGTCCCGATATTAAATCGCAAATGTAATTTACGAGGCCCGATTCCTTTTTCACGGCCGACTGCAGTTGCTATCTATGGAAAAGCACGCCAATACGAATCATTGTATAAAAATGTATAAAAATATAACGTTAAATATCTTTCTGCCTATATTTGATGCGCTGTGAATAAAAATTTCGGAATGCTCCGATAATACGTTTTTCAATTTATCTTATCACGATCTCAATAAAATATTGTTGCATTTCTAGATATACGTAAATAATGTTTTATTTATAATACTAATATGTGACCATTCATTTTATTGATAGCTATTTTAAGAAAAGTTTTATATTACTACAAATGCTACACACTGAGAGAAATATTACATATAACCATTTATTTTAATGATATTTTGAATATCAATTTTATTGATATATTGAATATATTGATTTTAGAAATGATTTTTTGTAACAAAAATTTTTCTTACCTTTTTATTAAAAAATTGTTGTTCTGATCAAAATTTAGTCAGACTAATCAAAATTTGGCTACAATAACTAAATTTTGATTAGAACAACATAATTTTTGAATGAAAAAATAAGAAAGCTTTTAGTTGCATATTAATTAAATAAATCGGTTACTCATACCGAAACATTTTTTTTTAGTTTTTTTTTTCTTAATAACCAACAACATCATATGTAATTACTTCATCGCTGAAGATGGCTCGAATGAAGCTGAAACGTTCGATCGATATTTTATATTAAGAAAATGAAATATACTATTGTGAAGATAATAATATATGATATCAAACGCACCAACTTCTGTGCTATTATTGCTCTTAATTGCCCGGAAAGTTCTGATTGATGATTTTTTTTTATTTTATTTTACATTTTATAAGCATTGTTTTCAATAAAAATTTTTATCTTCCTTTCTCTCTCTCTCTCTCTCTCTCTCTCTCTCTCTCTCTCTCTGAGATAGAGATAAATAAAACATTAAAGAATATTAAGACTCCATTTCTAGAAATATTTCATACTGCATTTTATATTTCTATAAATAAAATCGATAACGAATATACAATAATCTGACAGATTTGTTTTATTTAAATTCGATGACGGCTAGTGACAGATGCTATTTAAAGTGTAAACGGATATTCAAGTCGTCAAATCTGTCGCGTATATTTTCGTAATCGAAAGCATGTGAGAACCGCTGTGCCATTGGGCACGCATAACAAGATACTCGATATCGATTCTGTGTGCCTGCTGAAAACTGGGATCGCGTGTGGGAATGAATCTAATTTCCATTCCATGGACGTGGACATGGCCGACATGAGTGTTGTCTTATTGCGCCCGTGAATAATCCATCGTGATAACGTCGTGCGATTAGCAGCCACTTTTGAAATTTTGTCTATACGTTTCAATTATACGTCAATTTGCACGTTTATTTCATAATTTAGCAAATTTAAATTTTGCAAATTACCTCGCACGCGAACAATAAATTATGCAGCTCTTCGATGCTGAAAATGACGAATCCAATATGTAAAAATAAATAAAACAGAGTTTAGATAATTATGTAGGAAGATTGAAGTTGTAATAAAATACAATTCGAAGAATTAAGCGAAACATAATTTACAGTATTCTGTAGTTTTATCTTGTAAATTTTCTTTGATATCTATAGGTATAAAAATCAAATTTTTATAGTATTTAATGTTTAATGTAGTCTTTGAATTTGTGACTAATTAGAAACTTTCTTTTTGTTTTAGGTAAGTACCTTGTCTGCTGATCTACCGATAATGCCGAATAACGTAAGTTAAATATGACACATATTTTATTGTAATTTGTTTGGCTAAAGATAATGACGTTTTTTTTCCAAAGAGAAAATTTTAATATTTTAAACAGAAGACAAAACTTGCTTAAAAAAAATTAATAGACAATTTTATAGTATAATTGAGATTATTACGTCCGGTATCATCTCTACTGGATGTGTTCAGAAATAAATAGATACTAATACTATAGATAAGAAAAATATGTATTACTTTAGCGAAGTTTTTCATATCATATTATTATATTGGGTCATCTAAAAAGTATCCGCGGTTTTTTGTCACTAGATGTGTTGACTATCAACACCATCTAGTGACAAAAAACCGCGGATACTTTTTAGATGACCCAATACTATTGCTTATTATAATAATACGATCCAATTTTAAAATTTTGTTTTAAGATTCTTAATTATTTTAAGTTTTTTAATTATTATATTTTAAATTGATTCATAAAATGTTATAACGATAAGAGAAAAAAGTTATCATAAATAATATTAAATAAATGTTTTTAATCAGTTTGACGCAATAGAGATTAGAGAAAAATATTGTACATTTATCTTTTCGAAAATTTATTGTAAACATATGTATTACAAATGGCATTAATATTTGCTAGAAATTTTTGCTGCTGATATTAGTTTCGCTACTCGACGAAATTGTGACGAGCACATCTTTTTATTTCAAATTCCTCGAGTTTGGGTTCTGAGCGAAATGTTAACTGTTTGTTACGTTTTCATGCAGTTAGTAGAAATCGTACGTAGTGGGAAATGTAGTGCGATTTAGGATGGAAATTCAAGATCAGAGCGAGCGCACCGCAAATTCGTAGCCGCCGGTTTAACGCGATGCGTCTTTTCGTTCGCGTTTGTAGGAATGGCATGCGAATTTCGCGGGTGCTTGCGCCGTGATATCAAACGGAAACTACCGCCGTGCCGCACAAAGCCTTCCCTGTATCATCCGGTAATGGGAATGTCAATTGTGCGCGCACCTACGCCATCTCTCTCTTGACACGTCCATGTGCACGATTCTCTCACACGGTTTTCTTCTATTCGCAATCGTTCTCATGGACTTTGTCCGGGAAGTAAAAGCTTACGCAACAAAATTCAGAATTGCTCTAAATTTCACATCGCCTGCAATTGTGCAATATTCTACCTTAATTGGTGCGATTGTTCCGATTTGATATATGTTGCAATGATATCTCGCTTATACGTTCGAAGAATATATAACTAAATATAGCTTCGGTACAGAATAGAAAGTGTTGAAACGATATTAAAAGAAGACAAAGATATGAAGAGCTTTTGAATTAAAAAAAAAATAATTAATTAGAAGTGCCGATCAAACGCGATTTTTGATGCGTGACAAAATTATTATTCTTGAATAAATTGTGATTAATAATATGATCATACATCAAGAACTGCGTTTGATTCTTTTTTTTGATAGGTTTTTTTATCTAATTATTTTATTAAAAATGGAATTACAAAAGTAAAGCTATAAAAGTCCATGACAAAGATTGCATTGATAATAATAGGAGAATATACGAGGAATCGAAAAAATTGTAAAAGCAAGTAGTATCAATTTATTCAGCTCACGTAAGTTGTTACAATCTATTTTCAGTGTGAAATTTTATTAAGAACTGGGTCATTTTACATAGAATAATAGCAATTAAAAATTAAAATCAACCGAATAAGACGAAAGAGGCGACAATACGGACAAGTGGATCGAGAGTAAGAATAAAAGTTGCGGAGACGTGTACGAACTATTTGCGAAAGGTCAAGATTAAATCTTTAAACACATTTTTCATAATGAACGCATCGTCTATATTCTAGTACTTTTTCAATATAACTCGACCCCATTAACGATTCGAGCCTGAAACACGATGGTTGAGTTTATGAATCCAGATTCGAAAATACTTTCCCCTCCATCGCTGATGTCACGTGCAGTCTCCGACTATAATCTGGGCCCGATTGAATATTTAGAGCGGAGTTAATAAATAATTTCACAGGTGACATGCGCTCGTACGTGATTAAAGGGTGTATCTTGTACACGCTAACGCGGTACCATCGTGTCGCGCGATCATAAGACCGTGATATTGAAGTTTGCGCTATGGTTCGTTTAATATCAAATAGAAGCCCCTTCCGTGTTGCGCACAAAGATTCGCTCTATTATCCATAATAGGAATGTCAATTATTCACTGACGGAATTTCTGCATCTGACGATTCCACGTTAACGCCTCTCTGCTTATCTCGTATTTAGTTATGTAATATCATTATATTAGTTATGTAATATCATTAAGAAGGAATTTTCACTAATCCAGTAACATTCCTTAACTTTATTTTGTTGCAAATCAATTCTGCACGAAAAGAACGATTTTGTTGAAATATCTAAAAATTTAGTTAAATACGGATAATTTTTTTAGACCATTAAAGTAATTCTATAGGATCTTTAAACTAGAATATTAAAACTTTTCGTAACATTATTCTTAATGTTTCTACGTACTTAATTATTTTGATTCAACAAAATTATTTTTAGACTTATATCTGCAGCAAAATTTTTAGATTCTTCAGCAAAATCGTGATAAAGGGAGAAACAAATGATTTTTAACGAATTATTTTACATCGTTGTTACAGAATACATTCAACATAATATTTTTCGCCGTAGTACAATCTCAGAATAAATTAATTTTGTTTTTTGGTTAGTTTTAATCAACCTGAGGTTGATTTGCCAGATAAATAAATATGTTCATACGAACATATGGGCGTTTCGTAATATTCTTGCAGAATCAACCAATGTTATAATTCAATAGTTGCAGAATTGATAGAGCATAATTATTATAGCATGTATCTGCTAGTTGGAAGCTGAATCACAATTGGATTTAATAAACGTCGCCGTGAGATTATTCAATAATCTCGTTATCTTAGATATATGAATATTTCATTGAATTTGCTGAATATTACTTCAACAAGCCTGTCGGGTGTTTATACTAACCAAATCTAATTTATTGATCGTTTATTAACAGGATGCGTTGTATGCATATGAGCTTGATTGACCTCATTATACAAGATAAAATACATCATATGTGCGAAATATAAGCTAGTTATTTTGACTTTACGTCAAACAATCAAAATGATAATGTTATTTTGATATCATAATTAACATATTTTTATTATAGAGGAGAAATGCAATTTACAATAACAATATTAAGTAACATTATTACACATATAAATAGTAAAATAATATATTAAACATGATATTAAAATGATAAATTATCAACTAATTAAATTATGGTTAATGGGACTTTTACATTTGCTATTTTTTAAATAATTAATTTAGATAATTAATTTGAATAACTATTAAAAATTATTTTTCATAATTTGAAATATTATTTTTTATCAGAAATATAATATACGGTGGTACCATGTTTATTTTGGGATTCATTTTAATTACGTACATCGCTATTGTATCTTACCTATCTCATTCCCAATTTTCCGTACTAACTTATTTTTACAATAATAGCGATGCCCTATGTGTGCCGATTAAGACCGATTTGTATTCAAGTGGCGGTAATGGAACAATAACGTCGTTTCGAGATAACGGTGCCATCCACATTCCTTGGGCTGCCGTTGTCATTATCATCTATTGTCATTACCTCGACGTTCTCGTCGTACCAGTTCACGATCTCACGTGAGATTCATTATCCAATCCGTCGCGGTTACAGCCTGCTCTATGCTTAGATCCGTAATTTTTCACTTCTACCGCATTATGTACCACTACGTGCAATTTAACTCTCTCAGTTTAATTAGAAATTGCATAAGCGCGCATTATTGCGATAAACTGTATTATTGCCCCGACTAGTTCTTTACTAGAAGCGCTACATACTTCTGAGAATTTATTAAAATGATATGATACGACGATGTATGCTATGTAAATTTCTGAAAATATCACTTCTTCATTTTTTTTTTTATTATGAGTTATGTTTGTGGCATTTGATAATATATAGCTTTTCTTGGGAAAAATTAACATATTATGCGTTGCAATTCGAAGTAACATTTTTAATAGTTTTCTTTTAAACTTTCGTAAAAATATTGTAGTTGTTAGAAATTTAAATAACTTTTTAATTCATTTTTAAATTCTGTTTATTGCCAAACCTTTACGCGAAATCTGAGCTGTGATCCTTGCACGGTATCCCAGGTAATGCCATAACCCTAGAATTAAGTCGTTCTTCACGAAGAAACCTGTTCATCAGAGCAACCCCTTTCGGGTTGGGTTGTGAGAAAACGTGGGATATTGCGTGTCGGTAAAGTCGGCCCAGAAATTCCTGCACGATTCAACGAATATGTTATGTTTATGATATGTTATGTTCATGATAATACCTGAAATTTTATTGCGTTCAAGGATTGCATGGATTTTTTAAAATTTTTTGTTAATTTGATATTTGTATCGTGGAATATTCTCTTTCAAGAAAGCGAAAGAAATTATTTTTTCTTTTATACTATGCTTTATTGATATGCATTTGTCAAATTCATTTGCAAATTAATATGGGATTTTAATCTTCAAAAGCCTGACGCGCCTTTAAGGACACTTTAAATGATTATGTTACGCAAAAATAAGTTGTAGCAAACGTAGTGCTTCTTTATTTTAAAATTTATCAAATTGTTATAGAATAATATTAGATGTTACAGTCATTTATTGTAACGTGAGATTTTATTAGTAGTTATTTAATGTTATTACCCGAGAAATAAATTAGATAGAATACTAAGAAAGATGGTGTATAACATAATATGTTCTAGAAAATTAATTAGGTGACAACTGTAATTGCGCGCAATGCGAAGTTTTGTTATCGATGATCCAAAGGTTTTCTTTTCGTGATAAAGAACATTTCAATATCTTATGATTAAACTAATGATTAGGTTTCTCTTTCGTAACTTTTGCAATCGAACGATTTGTTTGACTATTTCTGTATTGTTGCTTAATGTAGTAATATAAGAATAACA